TAACTCTAGTTTTTTTAGTTAGTTAACAGTTAACCATGTTTTATACTAGTTTAATTAAATTTAATTTTTTTTTAAATAATTAGCATTGAGATGTAGCGCCACTGGTGCGAATCCCGAACGGAAGAAGCGTTTGTAAGACCTACAAATAATTGTTCCGTGTCTGGATGTTTGTTTTACTGAAATTTATGTATATAAACTGTCAACTGTCTCCACAATAAAGGAGAAAATCATAACGATTAGTAAAATAAAAATTAAATATTTTCAGAGCTTATATTTATTTCTTTGCAAATTTATTCGCTAGTCGTAGTTTCTTCTCCAATGATATTAAGCAGCGTATTATTTTTATGTGGCCGCTTACAGAAGAACGATATTTAAATAACTTTTTTTTTGCGCGGACAACATCACAACATTTATGCAAATCGAATCGTGAATAAAAACAAACATGTTCCATTAAAACATGCAGTACGGTAGCGCTTCAATCGCAATAACACCCATTAATTGCTCCTTGTTACATTGCTAACGATAATAATGCTTAACAGTACTAGTATTTTACGATCACATCCCCGTTAATACTAATGTTAAAAAATGATATCATGCAAAGCTTTCGTACTATAAAAAGCTTATCGCTGTAGGATCTGCACAGTAAACAAGTCGGTGGCAAAACGTACTTTATTTTTCAATGTTTACTACTCAACACCAGAGCTATTACCTACTGCATTTACATCCATATATTTTCGTTATTTTAGCGTAGGTACAACATTTACGAAATGCACTAAAACTAACTAACGCATCTCATTAAAGTAATAATGTGAACCCATTGTCTAATGCATTTTATTAGTTCATTCTAAGTTTTATCTTCGCGAAAGACATCTAATTTGTATTGTCGAAAGATTCCCACTTTTATGTTTTTTTTTTTCGTGTCAAGTGCAACCGCGTAATTATTTTGGTGAAATAGCTTCCAATGGAAAATTAAAATTGAACTCTTCATTACATTGTTTTAGGGTTCTAATCTCTTTGCCCGCTTCCAATGCAAACAGAATTTCATAATATTCCATTACAATGGCCGTTCTAATTTTTGGAATTAACAAAATTACATTATGCATAATACTTGCAAATTTATTAAGCAAAAAGTAACGATTTTGCGATGGTTTATTTTTGTTTTTATATTCTAGATATTGCTTTTTAGTTTTAAAGTGGGTATTAGATAGACATCGGTGGTTAAGTGAATTTTTAAATTATATGATACACGTGTACAACAGTCTATGTGTCGGCGAGACGTCCATTGTCTTATATTTCCCACAGTGAAAATAAGAGTGAGGATTCAATCTTTAATGGGCCTCTAACGGTAGGTCTGTACAGTACGCTGGGTCTAAATATTAAAAGTACGCAGCTGTGTGCACACCCGAGCTTAAAAACCATGACTCTACTTAATTATCCGCGACATGAATGCTCTTACAGTACTCTCTTAATGTGAACATTATTATAATCGAGAAATATACTAATAAATTTTCTAAAGAAAGTTCTTCTTAAATTGAACTGAGATGACCAATGAACTTTCAGTCCACGTTCTTATAAGGAAGGTTATAGGTGCCTGTAATTTATACTAGTTCTCTATACCCTTCTCTTACGGAACACAACGGAGCACGCGGCAAGATAATTTGCGGCAGAAATACTTTAATAAAACTCAAATTAAAATATGATTTTCTTAATTTTTTACAATAGTAACATTTCTTCTGTAGTCAATTTCAAGCACTAGAAACACATCAATTGGTGCACTGTTGCTTTGAGGCTGAAGTAATTAAACGGCTAAAATTCTAAGACAGAAAAGAAAGCGTCCCGTCTAACCACCTGATAACTATATCAATTCAGAAAAATATTCACAAATGTAACCCGTGAAATGAAAATATTAAAAAACATATTTAAGAAAAATTATTGTGACTTGCGACGAGAAGTCCTGTAACAAGAAGATACTGTGACAAAGTTTTTTTTTATAGAATAAGGGTGACAAACGAGCACACAGTCCACCTGCTGGTAAGTGGATGCTGTGGCCCATAGACATCTATATTTATTTTCAATTAAGATTCAAAATGCAGATACGTTGCCAGCCCCGCAGAGATGAAATGCCACGTTTCCAGTAAAAAGGGTCTCCGGTTCTCTACACTCACCATACAAAACACAGCAACATTAAACTACTATTTTACGTTGATATTCTGTGAGAGCGTGGTCCTTCCCCGGTCGAGCCCACCCATTCGTGCTGCTACCACAATATGGCTGCAACATGGCTCTACCACGTAAAAAAGTAAAGATAATTTAATTGTTTTAGGGCTAAATTTCATAAGACGACGTGTAAGATGCTTGACTACTTAATAACATTAATTTACTATTGAATACCTTTTTTTTTTTTTTTTGGAAGACTTAATTCACTGAGACAAGCTCGATTGAAATATTATTATATTCGTAGGTCTGATAGTCGATTATTAACAGTGACAATTAGAGTATGTTAACAGTCATTATTAGGTAAAGTAAAAAGTACATTTACAGCCAATGTACGTCCCAATACTGGACACTGCGTCCTCATTGTGTACTTAACATGTCGGCGATTTTTATTATATTCTTCACAATGTTTTCCTTTACCGCCAAACTCGTAGTAATACAATATTTAAAATTGTAAGGTGCGTGAAGGTAACATGGTCACCTTAAGGATTACCCTATACAGCCAAAACTAGGAGGATAGAGACAAAAACACAAAGTCGTATACTATAACTAATATATTAAGAAAATAATAGCAAACAAGCCTTGGCAATAATTATGAACACTTCGAAAAATCGACTTAAAAAAAAATCTAACTACTCTACACGATACTAAAATCAACTAAAATATACGCTATAATATCGCTTTATAAATGGCGTTGATAAAGCAGTGCCTTATTTGATCCTTTATTATTTATTTGACCGATGAAGAGCTATCGTATCACAAAGCCATCTATGTATATAAGGCTGTGATTTTAGAGTTATAAGAAAGTGACCATATTAAACCGTGTGACCATATGACCCTCGCGTACTATAATTAATAAATCTCATAGGTGCCGACGAAGATGGAATCCGTATTGATCGCGTATCCGCGTACGGTAAAATTCACGACGAGCACTTAGGCCTGAACCACAACAGCTCTATTATTACTTCTGCTATGTTCCAAATAAGTCTCTTACGTGTGTAACGTGCATAAGCAACCTATCCATAATTTAATTTTCCCACGCGCGCAATCCATGGTTCACCTTTATTATATTTAATTTTATTCATATTATTTTCCCCGAGCCGTGGTAGCTCGGATGGTTAACGCTCGCTGTAAATATAACAGAGCGCGAGTAACCCGGGTTCGATGCCGATGCACCAATGAAATTGTTAATTGCAGTTTTAAGTGCTGATTTACCAACGTGCTCGGCGGTGAAGGAAAAATATCGTGAGGAAACCTGCATGTCTGAGGAATAAGAGAAAAAAAATATTTCGAAGACATGTGAAATTTGTCAACACGCAATGGGGCAGCGCGGCGGACACTTCCTTGCCCTAAAACCTGAACCTAACCTAAACCTAAAACTAGGGGAGGCCTGTGCCCAGCAGTGGGACGTATGTAGGCTGTCACTTTACTTTACTTTACTTTGTATTACATTCGTAAAGTAGCAGTGCTCTCGGTGTTATAATACGGTGTGACTACTCAGATGTAGTAACGCATTTTTAACTTTCTGTGTTTCCGGCCTACAGACTGCAATTATGTAGAGAACTAATGTCTTTTAACCGACTTCAAAAAATGAGGAGGTATCCAAATCAACAGTATGTTTTTTAATTTGTGTTAACTCAGAACTTTTTTCTAGGTGAACCGATTTTAATAGTTCTTTTTTTATTTGAAAGCTTGTACTTTTCATATGGAGATATATAAATTTGACTAAGATCTGACCAGTAGTTTTTGAGTTATCTTTAATAATGCGTATTCAATTGACTTCGACTACATTGATGATGTTCTCATTTTATTTATATTGAAGTCGGTTTTACAAAATGTTTAATTTAACCACGTGTTTATTTTTCAAAATCATGTGTTTAGCCACCGCGCTACCAAGCGGCCAACCTTGCTTGACATTATAAAACAATATGAAAACCTTTCATCGCATCCAGTTAAATTACTGGTGCTTTGAGAGTCGATAATTTAGCAAGCACGAAGCGCATGTACAAAAACATTCCGCTAGTTTATATCTACAAGGAGTATAGAGGTAAATTGTTACTATTACGGGCACGGGCCAGTCGTTAAGTGGCTTGCGCTCGCCGGTACGATTAGATGTCTCGACGGCCGAATGTCGCATTGTCTCCGACATAGCTGACCTTAGATTAAACGTTATGCGAAAGATGTACCGCGGTCGCACACAGGCTAGTTTAGTGAGAGCATGTTTCGCAGAAACGCTCGGCCTCTTTGGACCAATTTGTGGAACTTAATGCACGACACTGTGTAATATAACTATAATAAGCGTTGCCCTTAACTGTATACAGTCAACCACTATGTTTGGTTTGATAAGTTATAAAGGTAATTTAAGAGAATTATATAACATTTATTAAATACTAGGGATGCACCCCGGCTTCGCACGGGTGATTTTTGGATCCCAACAATATCGCCACTTACCGGGTCCAATAAAGTCGAGGCGTTTTTGAGTTTTAGCGAGACTAACGGACAGCAAATGAGTTTTATATATATATATATATATATATATATATATATATATATATATATATATATATATATATATATATATATATATATATGTGTGTGTGGGGTGGAATCTAATGTCTACCACAATATTTAGATCGAATAGTTTAGTACGTCTTGAAAATTTTTTAACATGCTGTAAATGCGAGATAGCTAAGAAATATGTTTAAAAAGTTAGTGCTAAAGTTCGTGTCTTCAATCCCCAAATGTGTCGAATATATACATATATAACAAATTGGTCGGATTCTTACACTCACCAATCTTCGCTTTGGCTTAATAAGCGGCCTGTTCTGTCCGTTCATCTTGTAGTAAAGGCCGCAGGCGTTGCAGAGGTAGTGGCCGGTGCCGTCGCGCCGCCATAGAGGGGTGCTCGTCGCCCCGCAGTTCACGCACTCCCGCCCTTCTGCACCATACAAACAACAATCTAATCCAGCTACAAAAATATTCTAAAAACTACTTTCATTTTAAAATAGGGCTGGAATAAAAAAATTAAAAAAAAATTAAACTTATTAATTTGTCTGTACATTGAAAGTGATAAAAGAGGCCATGGAAAACAAAATGATAGTTTTAATATGAAAAAGATTTATTACTTTAAGTAAAGAACATTTTGACATGAAACTAATATAACGTTTTCTGGGTGATTTACCTGTCTCCTGGCAGGCTGGGGAAGACGAGAGAAAATCACATTCAGAAACATTACAATTCAAATTTAACTAACTAGTCTAACATGCAGAGCACATAAAACGGCATAAACATTATTTCTAATAAATACACCATACCATATTCCCCCAAAGCAATATAAATAATGGCAATTATAACGTAAATACACAATTAACAAGGGAAAGCGCACGAAGTTTCACTTGAAGAAAAAATATCAAGATTTTTTACACGCAAAGAAAAATCGAGAGAAAGTAAGTCAGAACGTTCTCGCTATTTACTTACATGCAAACATCCCTTCAATCATGCCTACTACAGTCAAAACTTTATAATACGTCAATGAAAACCTCTATTAATAAAAAAACTTATACTATCGATTATTATGACTCGAAAAAATCGCAAGAAACTCTTGTCGATTAATTTATTTTCATCGCTGCCAATCATACTCTACCGCTTCTATTATTAATTAATAGAATCTGCATTATTATTTTAATAGTCTGCAGCAACAAAAGCAGGTAGTTATAAAACAATGCTGGTTGCAAAAATGTTCGAGAGCGTCGAGCTGAGTAAACAGAGCAGAAACAGAGCCATAAAGCAAAGTATTGCCTACATGCTAATTCTCACTATATGTAATTATATACCGATGCAAGTACGAACGTCTTGTACAATTTTCATCGCAAGCCACAACACCTCATCCGTAAATAGTTTTACATTACTTTTAAGAAATAATAAAAAATAAGCTAGCTCTATGAACCGGTTACGTTTTACGAATGCTAACATAAAAATATTTTAAGAATAATAATCGAAGAACTAAAATTGGTAGGTACTGATAGTTTACACATGCTCAAATTTTACTTCCATGAAATCATGCATAATATTGTAAAATTTAAATTGATCCCAAGACGAGCGGCCCTCCGGGAAACGTTGCGGTTTTTTAAGTATCAACCCCTTTTTTGAAGAAAACAGCCATTTCAGAAGACCGTTCACATTGTTACGGAGAGGATGTATACGCATATAGGACGCGCGAGCACCGCCCACAATCTCTCTCTAAACTTGATTATGGGAGCGATGATTTACCGAGATCGAATTTAGAAGCCACATCTCGTTACACCTTCGCATCCACGTTATATTACCAATTAAATAAAAACGTACTTTACTGCGATAACTTATTAAATTTTATTACCTTTACAAAAAAATTAACAAACCTAGATGTCTGAAATCTGCGAACAGCAAATTATTTCGTGATAATAATAACACGTGTTTTGTATTCAATTTATTCAAGCTTAATTGATTATAAAACGACACTGCAAAATAACGAGTATATTCAATCTGGTTATATATGAAATAAAATAATTTCTACCGGACAAGGTTTAGTACTTATATAGATAAGTGGTATGTATTTGCTTATTATGAAACAAGTTTATTTCCCTACAGATTATATCAGAGGTGTGATATATCGATAATTACGATAAGCAGATACTGCGGTGCACTGAATAAATAATGAGATCCGCGCAGGATCTAACGAGGAAGGTGAAAGTGCTCGAATAAAATTAAATGTTACAAAAAATATCTCAAACGAACATAAAATGTTCTCCGGGCTTCAGGCATTGGGGCCATTCATCTTTTTTTTATGTAAAACCAGATCACAACCGGCAATTAAATCGCCCGGACTTTATCGAAAACTTATTGCGATCGAATGGACGACTCACTTTTTGGACTAACCCTTTATTTTTTGTTCCGTCGATAAAGCCTGTAATTTGTTTCGAAGTTTCTAATAAATAAACACCAATAACGATTATTAAGAAAAATGATAGGATATTACATGGCGCTCGGAGTTTTATGACGGTGTCTCTCGCTTCGAGAGTGATTTCGTTCAACTGTTACGTCTCTATTGATAACGATTGTGAAAGTGGTGGCTTTGAGAGCCCACCGGTGCTTTACAAGATTTACTGCCAGCACCGCACACGTTGTAATCATACTTATTATTAAAGAGAATATCCCTGATTAATTACCATGCAGTATAATTGTTCGATCCAGTTCAGTCTCAATCGTAACGGTGTTAATTCGGTAACACAGAATTGTTTCTTTATTTCCACGGACTTTTCGGCTATCGACAGATCTGCCACGTACGCTGCTTTACCGGACGTGAGCTTGACGTGAAATAAAGATATGATTTAGTGCGCACATAACGGGGCCCGTCCAGCTAGAGATAAACCTATCCAGAGCCATTGCAGAAAGAATGAGGTTTGAGCGCAAAAATTCCAGTGTTTGTTCAAAATTAGAATGCGGCTCGCTCTTTATTGCCCGGAGTGACGTGCGCTCGTGACGCGGCGGCGCTACGTGACCGCGATAAAAGATTTTCATCTGCCGTATTTACGTAGCGGAGTGGGCGGTTTTTATATTTCGAGAGTCTCCAGGCGAGCGCACTCGAGCCGTCGAGAGCGCGCAAACTTTTCACACGCCCTTTTCGCGTGGGGAAAACAACTCGGCGGTGAAACTACGCGACGGTTCCGCTGATTGTGCATATGCTGCCCTAGTCAACTAAGCACTCCTTGGAGCTACCGATGCGTTCAAAACAAATAAAAACGACTCTTAACTCAATAAAACAAAAACACATAACATCCCATCGTAGTCACGTTAATGTGCATCAGAGTATTGTAATTTAAATGGAGGACTAATTCGCTCCCGTGTACCGTGACGCGCTCTCTCAGCGCATCGGTCCATCAACACGTAACGGTGCGGCTATTTTGCATACAAACCATTACATTATTGCTCAAAACTTATTCTTTGTTCGCCACAGAGGCTGCTATTACGCCTTAATTATATGCCTGCATGCAAATAGAAAATTTAACGGAAGCCAATTGTCTACAATCTGGATTGGTCTATAGGCTGCTTAAGATGTTGTATTATATTAGTTTGAATTTAGAGCCACATTTGTAATTGACTTTATGGTAACATACATATCACATCACATCGATAGGCTGTATAGGTTCACAGGACATGGGACTTTCCAAGAATGCACCAGCTGCGAACGCGGTGAGCTCATAGTTTTATTTTATTTTATAGAATATGAGTAACACACGAGCCCCCAGTTCACCTGATGGTAAGTGAATGCTGTGGCCTATAGACATCTACATATATCCTCGATTAAGAATCAAAATGTAGATGCGTTGTCACTCATGAGGACTAAAATGGAATCCCTCGTTTCCAATAAAAAGGATCTTCAGTTCTCTACACTCACCAGACGAAACACAGCAACATTAAGCTATTTTACGTTAGTATTCTCTGGTTTTGACCTATGACTTATTCTATTAAATTAGAAATGGATTTTCCGCTGTCAGTGGATCACCAGTAACGTTTGTCAAACACCAAGGTGCACCAAATGTAGATGCGATAGGAACTTAAAAAGTTATAACATATTTCCAATTGCACCTTAACTGAAATAAAATCAGGGTAGCATAAAGGAATGAAGTCATTTTTCACACCGGCCGATGGAACTCACCGTGCCGGGCGAGCGCTCATATTTGCATTTGTTATTAGCATACATTCAGATAATTACGAGTACATGCGACGGGCGACGCACCGGTGCACGGTCGCACTGAACCTCGTGTAATTAAACTCGCCGGTCATGGTGACGAAAACATAATAAGGATGAATTTGCTGAGATGTATCAAGTTTTAAAATATTTCGTTGCATACCATGCGGGAGAACAACGCAATACATGTAGATATATTAGTAGTATAGTTGTAGCACGAATGGATCGGCTCGACCGGGGAAAGACCACGCTCTCACAGTATAGCAGCGTAAAATAGTAGCTTAATGCTGCTGTATTTCGTATGGTGAGTTTAGAGAACCGGAGACCCTTTTTACTGGAAACGAAGCATTCCATTATAGTCCTCACGGGTGACAACGCATCTGCATTTTGATTCGTAATCGAAGATATATGTAGATGTCTATGGGTCACAGCAACCACTTACCATCAGGTGAACTGTGAAAAACTCCCTTTTATAGAAAAAAGAAAGCCTTGTAAATAGTTTAAAAGAAATCTCATATTTAAATTTAAAATATCTTATAGTATGCACAATAAAAAATAAAAGCAAAAAATAAATAATATTACTACAATCATAAGATGTAAAGTAAGATTTTGCTATAGTTGCCACAGTTGGCAGCCGGCTTCGCAAACCACAGTTTTTTTATTTTTAGTCAGTATCACACTCTCCAGACCTGAAAGATCCTGCTACCCATTTCCGCTTCCGTCTGTCGCATCCTACTACACCCACGGGGTGATGGACTTTTATGATGATTGGTAAGGGGGTAGTGGACTTTTTAACCAGTGTGCTACCTGCCCAGGTAGACTTCTAGGTAGAATAGGAAAATACAAACTTGTGCTAGATAAAATTTTGTAAATTGCTACTAATGCTATAAAAACTGTGAATATATTTTAATGGTTAATACTCAATCACGCACTAACAGCCAAGCGGATTTCTATTGACGGTGATGAACAGATTGATCACATCCTAGATTAAAATATGGGATATTTTTATTGCAGCGTAAATATAATATAACATTGACTGTATCTCGATCATAGCTGTTATTATTTAATACAGTGCAACCTTAACATAACGTACCTCAATATAACGACTTCCTCGATTTAACTATTTTTTCGTGATCCCCTTGAATTGTCCATAAGATTAAATATAAAATATTTACATTGCGAACGTTTCTTGCGAACAACCTCTTTATAAC